ACATCTAATACATATTTACGGAATTTTTGAAAGCAATTTGATGTTGATAAGTCTGATGAGAACGCAAACAGGTTTTCTCTGTTTAACCAAAAGAGTAGTTACAAACTTATACATTGATTATCGGGTAAAAACATAATACTTCCCCTGAGTATCCTTCCCGGAAGATGGCAACTGACAATATTAACATCACGGTAACACACAGTTTTTTGGAAATGCTTCGAAAGGTCATGATAGTGACATATTGATAAAACGTTTCCTATATAGTACGGAGAATGGGGATTATGTATTTAAAACTGCAGTTTAGGCAATGATGAATGCGAACCTCTGGAAAATATTTTGCACGAATGAGAAAAACTTAAAACACTCATGTATACTTCCAAAGAATGTTATAAAAACGTAGTTTTAGAAATATAGTCTATCAATAAATACATACATATTTTTTTTTCAAGTGCACATGCATTTATGCATCGCGATCGAATGTGTATGTGTATAAATATGCAGATTGTGACTTTTTTGAGTGTAAGTTCTATGAACAAAATACATCCTATTCACGTGAACAACTGACTTCGTATAAGATTTCTCCAAATGAGTCCTGTATTGGACCGGAAATTGTCGCTTCTGATGTTTCAGTTCGTATAGACTTTACAAAGTTTATGTGAGATATGTAGATAAGACATGATATGACACTGATATGAGAAGTATAATCTTACACGGTTCCCGCTTGCAGCCATATCAATGTAGAATCACAGCGGGCGACACTAGATATAGATTGAACGCTGAGCACAGAGAATCGGAGTGACCAGCCCCAAGGCTCCACAGAGACACTGTGTTGAGGAAAGCATCTTAGAATATGATAATGTTGATGTATCAAGACATACGTCCCTGGTATTGGAGAATGGAAATGTTATGATCATATCGATAGTCGATCAGAGTAGGCGATCAGATCAGGATTTAATGGTACGTGTGATGCAAAGGTTAAAGAGGTCACGATCAACTTCGAAATATGCATTTTGGGGGCAACGTCACTAGTATCGGATAAAAACACCTCTGTTGACCAGACATGTACAGGTGCTTCTGGGGACTCGTCAACTTGACTCATACTATTTAATTTCATCATCGAGAACAGCACCGAGTTCATTGCCAGATGTTGAGTGGATTTTGACGTTGAGGTGCATGTCTGTCAATGACGTTCCAAGCGGGAAAGGTTAGGACTGAATGCTTGCCATGGCATGACATAGATGCTTTGTTGTTCGCCCACAGTCTTTGAGCAAATGGCTCGACGATTGGTGCACTGGTTACCCGATGTGAACCATGAGTCTACCATGGACAATATGGAAAACAGTTCAGCCTGTCATTGTAATACAGACCCTTGCCATTATGGATCTACCGTAAGAAACAAGCATGTTGTGCGACGTTAACATCCCTCAAACTCTCATTAGGACGTCTAAACTTACGTCCCTCTGTCAAGGAAATCAAGCATGTACTGTAGCATCAGTCACCTATTGCAACTGATCCCTTATCCGAGTGGCAGTTTGCAACCGATTTCTTCATGACATCGTACTGAAAGCCTTGTCATGTAGCCCAAGATGTCTTCGTAGATGTTCTTTACCACATACATCACTTCATGCCATTGCCAGACATTGGTATATAATGTGGTTTCACCTCAAATATAAACATCCCCTACGTTTGGGTTCGTAATAAACTTATACGTATGTGCTCTGCTTCGATATTTGTATGTATGTTCAGATGCCAGGTACATATGATACCTTTGATCATACGGAAATACTCATTTGCAACATCCTTCCTAACATCATGTCAGATATATTATGGAATAAGGTGACTTGTTGTATTCTAGGACGGTTCTTCACATTCCAGCGTGGCACATTACGAAACGGAAGAACACAATGGAAAGGGTGTAGTTGATGAATTGTCGTCAAATAGTACACGACACAGATACTGGAATTTCGTAAACCGGACGAATTTGGAACATAGTAAGTAGAGGTGAGGGTCTGTTGTGATTGTGTGAGTTTTGGAAGATCAAGATCTCTCGTCGTTTAGAATTGTTTGTGTTAAACAGTTGTTGCTGCCAATAGTCTTCAGTAAGCATGTTCATGAGGCCAAACATAAAGCTTATCACAATGAACAGTTATTTTACTTAATATCTATTTCCAAATAGTTTCATTCATTTTTCATATGCTATATGCAAAGGACTTCGACTTTCTAGATGGCTCAACAATCACCTGTCATCATAACTATAGTTTACCCTCCTTTGATCAGGAGTACAATCTTGAAGAAACATAAGTATTATATGAAGGCCAATTCTCGGAAGTGCCACTTTTGGGTAACTTCTTAGTAGACAGGCCAGTTAAGAATTACGGTGTCACTGGCCTTGAAATGACGCTTCAGTGAACATTGTAGTTAAGTGCCGCGGAATATTTGTCCTAACCTTGCACCTTTAGTATTGCCGGAACCACGTCAGCGGTGGTTAAATGGCGCTCAATCATTCTTCGAACTGACATCAATTGCTCTCAGTTGCCGTCAGTTAACATCGTTGATGAACAAGTCGGATGATTTCTACCCGGTGGGTAATTTCCGAGTGTCTACTGTCGGAACGTATTGAAATCAAAGGCACCTGTATCTCTTTGCCGATGGGTTATCGTGACTAAAACATAATTGTACTTGTAAGTGGATAATGCATAGAGAAGTGCATCCGCTGCTTTGTGTTGACTCAACTCTTGGTTAGGGACCGGTTATTTGATATTCTGGGAGCCTTGAAATGAATATTTTATTTATTTATCTATTTATTTATTTATCAGACTGTTGGAAAATACAGAAAGTGTCAACCACGTAAAATACGTTGTTGCAAGCTGCAATTATTAAACAAATACAACGGTTTGTTTTCTTGTCCTTGTGAGGAACTTTGAAATCCATTGTTTATCCTTTGAAGGAATTGACAGATCAAAAGCATGGTATACCGACATCATCCAATGTCGACCGTTTGGGAAAATGCTAGCTCAAAACATGACGAACTCTTTGATTTCCCACAATGTTTTGAAATGGTAAATGGTCTTCACATTTTTAGCACTATCAAGCTTTGTTAAAACACATAATTTTCGTTTTCTCTTGTCTGTCAGTCATACAATGTATACCAACCATCAAGTTATTTTTTAAATAAGTACTTAATAATTATAGTAAACATAGCGACAAAACACTTTCCATGGTCATAAGAAAGTCCCATTGTACGATTCCAGCTATATCGCGAGCGTCTTTGAAACAATTTCCCTCTTCACATGCAAAAGTAAATCAACTGCAATTGTCCGCCTAAAAATATAGACAATGGAACAAGCAGAAAATAGTTTTATGAGACATCACACATTCACTGAATCCAGTGTAGTGGTCATGTTCATTAGTCCTAGTGTAGATCAGCTGACAGGTGTATATTGATTTAGATTTGTATTCCACATCGAGGTGATGTTCAATATGTCGACCACCAAGATGGAATTACGATGAATGATGCTATTTATAATGATATGTGCATGATATCATAGAGACTGTATATCGATCGATCGCTGACGTTCAGGTAAATATATACGCACATGACCATGGTCGCTCCTAGCATCAGTCCAGCGAGCACTGCGATATGTCTCCTGACCTTTATAGAGCATCTGGGTATGGTACCTTACACCGATGACGTGCCTGTCGTGAAATTATATACACGACATCACAACAACAATCTATTTTAGGACGTATGTTGTTGGCAATCTGATTTCATGCTAGTCATTTAAGTGTGTTGCTGTGTATAATCTCTGGTGCTTGCCATATGCTGTGATGGTTGTGATGTTTAATGTTGCTGGGTAGCTTTTGTATTACAAGACATGTGATGTGATGTATTGTTGAACATGTCCTACTGTGTCATACACGTGATGCTGTGTTGTGTTACAAGACATCTGATGTGTTGTATTTGTTGAAGATGTCCTACTGTGTCATACACGTGATGCTGTGTTGTGTTACAAGACATGTGATGTGTTGTATTGTTGAACATGTCCTACTGTGTCATACACGTGATGCTGTGTTGTGTTACAAGACATGTGATGTGTTGTATTTGTTGAAGATGTCCTACTGTGTCATGCACGTGATGCTGTGTTGTGTTACAAGACATGTGATGTGTTGTATTGTTGACCATGTCCTACTGTGTCATACACGTGATGCTGTCCTGGACATTTATCTTTCTAGACATGTGTTGTGTTATATTGTTGACCATTTGTTCTGTTGTGTTGAATATGCAATGTATGCTGAACTTGTTGTGTTGCTGGACAATTGACCACGGACATATGTTGGTTTGCTGTACAAGTGGTCCTGGACACGTGTTGTGTTGCTGTACAAGTGGTCCTGGACACGTGTCGTGTTGCTGTACAAGTGGTTCCATTGATGTGTTGTGTTGCTGTACAAGTGGTCCCGGACATGTGTTGTATTGCTGTACAAGTGTTCCTGGACACGTGTTGTGTTGCTGTACAAGTGGTCCTGGACACGTGTTGTATTTCTGTACAAGTGATCCTGGACATTGTTGTTTCTGGACATGTGTTGTGTTCGAACACAGTTGTGTTCCTTTACACGTTGTGATTTGTTGCTGGACATGTCTTGTTGCTTGGCTTCTGTTGACGGAGATGTGTCTAGATAAGTGGTACTGAACGTGTGTTATGTTGACATGATATGTGCTGTTGTGCCTACACAATGCTCCATTGTGCTCGACGCGTAATGCTCTGATGGACATGTGCAGTGGTGCTTGCCATGTGTAGTGTCATGTTCCGGTGTATTGTGCTACCATGTATGTGTTCATGTTTCATGGCAAGTCACGTGTTCCACTGTTTCCCGTGTCCTCTCCAGCAACTTGACTGTTTTATGGCGATACAATCATTTATGCATTTCTTTGTGTTATCTAACCAAACAATTGAGTACTCAACCCAATATTTGTTTTGGAAGTGTAAAAGAACACACAGGACGTAGCTTTACATATTTATTGATATAAGAATCGTTGGAACTGGCCTGCATATTACATAGAGCGACTGGTCGTTACAAGGTCACAGTGAACGTGATGCAGATGACGAGGTGCAGCTCGAACAGTGTACTATTACAGAGTGATATATACGAGACATCGACAACCTAGAGCTCAGCCGGCTATTGCTGTCAGCCCGGACAGGCTACGGGGCGGTACAAGCAACATACAGTGCTTCACAAAAACAACCAATTACGATTAGCTGAAGATAAAAGCAACCGCCTTCCTCGGCTAGGCGTAGTCTCTGCTGAACTCGTGCCATAAGTCATGTGGTATAATACCTATGTGCCGCCGAGAGGTCGGGAAGCGAGAGTCATTAGTTATCCTGCCGACCCATAGTGCCCCGACCCTAACACCAAATGACCTATCGCCCTAAGTCAGGCCTGCCGTCAAGGGGAGGGGGTGCAGAGAAAACACTCCACTTCTACATTGAAACACTCATTACATCAGGCAAATGAAGTCGAAACAGCTCTAATAATGACATCGATTGAAACGAACACATGCCTTTGCTTTGTCTACAATGCAGGCTATACGGACAAATCACTTACGATGAGGAAGTCATCAAACATCTGGTGCAGTACAAGATGAGCTATAGGGGAACAATGCAATTAGTTCTACAAGACAGTTAATACAAAAATAGGATGCAGTGACGACTACCGTACATTTAAGGATCTCGGTACTAAAATAGAGTGTTATCCGTACGAGGAAGGACTAGACATGGAGTGGCGTTGAGGAACCAGTGGTCAACAACTAGAAACGACCTGCGTGGAGTTGCGTACCCTAGCTGCCAGGATCCGCGGTTCGGGGATCTGAATTTAGGATTCGCCCGCTTATGATCATGGCCCTTTTGCTTTTGGATTCCACCAGTTTGTACCCGTCGTGTCTGCCATTCTGGTTCCCCACTAACTGAAACTCGCCGAGATGCAACTTCAGTACTGTTCAAAGCGGCGTCCTTTAACAAATCACTCACTCATTCTAGACGAAGACGGGGCAAGGGTTAATGGTAGTAAAGCACTACCATTCTCAGTGTTTGCATATAGTCACGTTTGATAGCATTACATCAACATATATTTGCATATGTCACACACGTCCAATGCTTTAGATGCACAAGGCTTAAAACGATTCTAAATAGTAATACATTGTCATTCAAATGTCCTTCGTTGCTAATGCATTCATGCACGCCTGTACTTCGATTCATGCCTGCTTTCTGTATCATGATGATCGCAGCTCGTTTCCCAGTATCTATATTTCGTCCTAACCTTAGTTTACTTTCAGTCAGAACTGTCACTCTCCCCTCCGTATTTCCTATATTCTCACAGTCGCCTCACATTCCATCCCGTCAAACTCCTGTGTACAATCTAGCCTTTCTATTAGATGGCGTTGTCCTTCTGAGCTTCATTGACTGTCTGTGGAGTCTCACTATGACGAATGTATGTCTTTACTAAAACACACATCCTAAACCACACAGCGTCACTGGCTCGTCTGTACCACCAAACCTCTGTACCACACAGCGTCACTAGTCCGTCTGTACCACCATCCACCCTGTACCACACAGGGTCACTAGTCCATTCTCTACCACCAACCACCTGTACCACACAGCGTCACTGGCTCGTCTGTACCACCAAACCACCGTACCACACAGCGTCACTGGCTCGTCTGTACCACCAAACCAATGTACCACACAGGGTCACTAGTCCGTGTGTGCCACCAAACCCCTGTACCACACAGCGTCACTAGTCCGTGTGTACCACCAAACCACTGTACCACACAACGTCACTAGTCCGTGTGTACCACCAACCACCCTGTACCACACAGCGTCACTAGTCCGTCTGTACTACCAACCACCCTGTACCACACAGCGTCACTAGTCCATTCTCTACCACCAACCACCTGTACCACACAGCGTCACTAGTCCGTCTGTACCACCAACCACCTGTACCACACAGCGTCAATAGTCCGTCTGTACCACCAAACCACTGTACCACACAACGTCACTAGTCCGTCTGTACCACCAAACCTCTGTACCACACAGCGTCACTAGTCCGTCTGTACCACCAACCACCCTGTACCACACAGCGTCACTAGTCCAGTCTGTACCACCAACCACCTGTACCACACAGCGTCACTAGTCCGTCTGTACCACCAACCACCTGTACCACACAGCGTCACTAGTCCGTCTGTACCACCAAACCACTGTACCACACAGGGTCACTAGTCCGTCTGTACCACTAACCGCCTGTACCACACAGCGTCACTAGTCCGTCTGTACAACCAATCCCCTGTACCACACAGCGTCACTAGTCCATTCTGTAACACCAACCACCTGTACCACACAGCGTCACTAGTCCGTCTGTAGCACCATCCACCCTGTACCACACAGTACAGAATGTCCTGACACCCCATATGCCAGTACAGAATGTCCTGACACCCCCTATGCTAGTACAACATGTCCTCACACCCCTATGCTAGTACAGAATGCCAGTACAGAATGCTTCCATGTGCTTGTCGAGTACGTCCTGACACCCTCTCTGCTGGAGCAGCGTCGTCCTGGTACCAGTCTATCTTGCGTCCCTCCACTCCACCCATGCACTACGTCAGTCAGCCCTATAAACTGTCAATGCTGCTGTAAGCTCCCAACCGGACAACGCCAACGGTGACATGAACAACATTAGTGCAAACCACTACGCCACAACATGTATATAAAGCTTGTGGGTACCAGTTCTTCGATGTACAGTATATCTATAAACAACCCGTGTTGAACTTGAGTGGTAAAACGTAACTTGGAATTCCTTGTTAATCAGTCTGTAATGCACACAGTGTGCGACACGCTAGCTAGTTCACAGTGTCCACAGTGTTAGCCAGCACAGCCACAGATATCATGTGGCTTGCATGCAGTGAACATGATGTAAGCTAGGTAATATCATGTAGGTTGACACACATTGACGTGATGTAGGCTAGCGAACAATACACACGTGAAAACTAAAACACACACACGCGTTCGCACACACACACACATATAAAGGCAAAACAAAAACAACATAACACACACTTTCACACAGGTTTAGTCCCAAACTGTCTTTATCTTTTTTTTCTATCACTCACACACATACTTCCTCCAAACCACACCCACATTTTCCTCCCTATCTCCGCCCTTCCCTTCCACACACAAATACACACTCTCTCCTTCCCTCTCGCACACACACGCGTTTTATTACGGACGTATTAAGCCCACACACATATATACAGGGTACATATATCATTGTTATATCATTGTTTGTTTTACAGTGTGTGCATGAACGTGTCCAAAGACCAGTAGCGTGCGTCCGTGACAATCCGCTACTTATATACAGCAGCAGCCCTATATCATCTTCAATGTGTACAACAATGAGTATTCGTGATGTTCTTCGAGTACTCTTCCACAAAAAACTCAGCTTCAAATACCCATCACTATCTATAATGTAACATTTGTAAGCAGTGCTGGGGATTACATTTCAGCTTAGTATCCCCGCACGTGTCAATGTTTATAGTTCCATGAATATTGCACAGTCAACGTTTACGAGACTTCTGTGATAACAGTGCAGTGTCCCATTGTTTGGGATGAACATGGTTGGAGACAGCATGAAGTACAAGGCCGGATGGTTCTGCTGCTGACGCAGCAACGCACAGACAGACGAGGATAAGACACAACTGAGAATATTGCCGTCCTGGGTGCAGAGCAGTGTCACTGTCCTTTGAAGATGACGGTGATGCCGACGATGTTGATAATGACGTAGATGAGGAAGAAGAAGCGGTCTGTCACACACGCTATGACACGCCACTCTCGGATGTAGCGCTCCCTCTCATCCCGAGCACGTTTCTTCTCCTCGTTTTTTTCCAAAATGTCCCGGATTCCTCTCACTTCCTCCAAAATGGCGCCTGACCGGAAGCCACCTCGGTCTAGAAAAGCATCCAGATCGGAACCCTCAGTTTGGGGTGTGACCCGATAGTCTATACCATTGTCCAGCAGTCGCACTTTAGAGAACTTAAAGTCAGCTTCGGGGAACTTGTTCTTTGTGTCTTTGTAGGACTTTGATGATTCCTTCTTTGTTTCCATATTTTCTTCTGGATCAATAATCTTATCCCGCAAACACAGTAGCGTGGCGATACCTCTTATCGTGCACTGGAACACACACAAATATCGTACTTAATACAGATACACAACATAGCAACACCATACACAATTACCTGACAATTCAATCTAAATATCAAAATAAACAAATACACATTAACATCGAGACAAATACACCGTAAGTTGATACAAATGTAGAATACGTACACAATACACAATTTGTTAAACAAATAATACACAAACACACCACAGTGATAATTGACATTTAAAAAGCGCCTTTATAAACGCACCTGTACATGTTCAAAGACTGCATTACCCCGGTTAACCGAAGCTGTTTCTAAGGCCCTAGAAGGTTAACAGTTAGTGACTTGTCCTATGCTATCCTATTCACTGCTGCGGGAAGAGAAGCAATTTTGAACAAACTCAGTGGCCTAGGGTAAGACCACATTTGTCTCGTGTGTTTCGTTGTGGCGCGAACAAACATGAGTCAAGCTGCCAAACACGGCCAACCATCCAAGGATGATCCGTGACCAATGTTACTTAACTTCAACTGATTTGTGATCTGGGATCTATAACAAAGACCACATACCACAACAATACCGCAATATACTATAGTACTCACAAATCAAAATATAATAGTACGCAGGTACACTAATAGTATAATAACACACACATAACATTATGGAAAACATCCACCATAATAACAAATTACACAAACTAAATAATACAAAACTACTGTAAATACCAGGATCCACAAACACACAATAATAACCTTTAAGGTTTAAAACCCCAAGGGTCGAATACAGAGATATTTTCCTTCAGCAATACTGATCAGCTATATAGACAAGGTTCAACTGAATTCTCTAGGACGAGGGAATTGAATCAGTTATTGTTCGTCTCTCTCCACAGAAAATGTGTCGGTGTGAGAAATGCCATCCTAATTATGTCTGAGTTTGTATGCAATATTTCTGACTGGACACGCCGTTCTTTAAGGTAGTGTTTAAATGGTTTCTATAAATCTTAAAATGAATATTTGATTAGTGTATCACGTCTGTTTGGGGGACCATTCCTATTTCATGCATGATTTTGACATCGTATTGTTTAAGCTACGTTTAACTCTGCTTTGCTATTCCCGCTCCGCTATCAGCTGGAGACTGGAGGGAACTAATGGCCACATATTACAGGCTATAACTGCCTAGGAGACGTTGTGGAACACCTCTGACGGTCCTGCAATATTCATATCCGTTTAAGAGAAATGATCTTTCCTTGTAAATGTTAGAGGTGGCGTATTTGTCAGCTATTTGGTGCTATTTGTCGTTATGAGCCAACACCCCAAAGGACTAGCAGCATGGGGAGGTGTCGGAGGAAGGATGTGGCCTACATCTGTAGATCCCCGTCTCTCGCTTTCACTCTTAGTCAGGGAAGCTGATTAAATATTGACTACTTCAGATTTACATCTTTTGTCACCCAACTGTACCCGTTCTGACACGTGCTGTATCATATTATCTTACTGTGACTGTCCACATATACGGTCTGCCCTGCAAGTCATATTATCCAACTGTGCCTGTAAACACAGACTGTCTGCCCTGCAAGTCATATTATCTTACTTTGCCTGTAAACACAGACTGTCTGCCCTGCAAGTCATATTACCTTACTTTGCCTGTAAACATAGACTGTCTGCCCTGCAACTCATATTATCTTACTGTGCCTGTAAAAGACTGACTCATATTATCTTACTTTGCCTGTGTCTGCCCTGCAAGTCATATTATCTGTTTGCCTGTTAACCCTGCAAGTCATAAGTCATCTTACTTACTTTGCCTGTAAACATAGACTGTCTGCCCTGCAAGTCATATTATCTTACTGTGCCTGTAAACATAGACTGTCTGCCCTGCAAGTCATATTGTCTTACTGTGCCTGTAAACATAGACTGTCTGCCCTGCAATTCAAACGATCTTATTATGATTGACCACGTAGCTTGTCTCCCCTGCCATCATTCATATTATTTTATTGTACACTTCTTTGAGTGGCATTTTAACTGTTGGAAAGTACAATATTGACTTCCTTTTTGGATAACAACTTCATTTATTCCTTGAGTGCGACGTGTCGATACAATTTCTTGCACCGTTGTCCTTGCTTGACAAGGATACAAGGATCTGCATCGAAACATCGCACACACGTAAAACCAAAAAGTTATTATCAATATTCTCTTACTGTGCTTGTCCACATAAATTGTCTGCCCTGCAAGTCATATGATCTTACTGTGCCTGTCCACGTCACAAAGTCTTCTAACACTATATCCCCAGTTCCAGAATTGCATCCATTAAATACCTATCGCAGGTACGAATAACAGATTCGTTCGTATTATGATTTCAGATGTTGTAGGGTCTAACCAAAATGGTAGACGTGCATTTGATAGGTTCTGTAGTTTGGGATCGACGGACACATGTGTGTCAATTTTCAGTTGCGTTTTCAAGCTACAAATTATTTGTCACGATTGGTCTCAACTGGTCATGCTTGTTGTGAGAACTGACACAAATGAGAATTGAATGGTAACAATGGCTGGATGTCTTGCCTGCTGTGTGTTAAGTAACCCGACGACACTGCTGACCGACCAACAGTCTAGTATTTATCAACAGCCGTGAGAATCCCCCCCCAACTCAACCCCCACGCAATGTACCAGCATTGTCTGAAGAAAGATTAATAATTCGAACTGTTACGGATGACAGAACAGTGAACGCTGAAAATCGACTCCTTGGCCCCATGGTGCAATGATGAACGACGGAATGTGTGTACAAGTTATTAATAACAATGGTGAATAATTCCCAGCCAGGATAGCACAATTCATATGTAACAAAACAAAGTAATTTATCAATATGAGCGCCTATTGAAAGTCAATGACGATGCGCCGTTTCGGAATAGATGAAGCAACTTCTAAGAGACACTAAACAATAAACTGGTCCACTATACACTAATGAATATTCGAAATTATTTGTCCATTGTGTACGCTTCTTTGTTATTTCTACAAGGTTTGTAATATCAAAATCTATCATTGATTAATACAAATAACCGTGTGCTGTTAGGTACATAGTTTGTTTTGGCAAATATCAGCAAACAAGTGCAGTTTTTTTAAATACATTGAGTGGAAGTATTTTTGTTTTGGAAGTTATATAATATTTATTAGTGTTACCTGACGATACCTGTTAACATAATGGCGTTATTAATAATATTCATTAAGTTTTATAAATACGAAAACATGAATGAATTTTCCAATGAATATTAAGATGGTGCTAGAAAATGTCGGTTGTATTTTCTGATATGAGCAAATAGATTTATCATCCGAAGACAAGTGACACAATTAAGGGCCTCACTGTTGTGTTCCAGGTACTCGTACGCCAGCTATAGCAGCTGTTCGGTCTGTTAAAGAGTACTTAACTGCTTGCAAAAACTCATTGCGCTGTCATTGAGAGAGGTCCGTGTTCAAAACAAGAGTAGTGTCTATACCCTGCAATACGACTGGACATGAAGTACTGACACAGACAGTGGCGGCAAGGATCACATTAACTAGTGGATACATGGTTGCCTCTACTCACAGATCTAAGCCACTTGGGAGCGCGGTTGATACGGACCCCCCTGAAGAACATGTTAGCGACGATACAGGCGAGGACCGTCGACACCGTGATCAACACCATGCTCAGACAAAAATAGGCGCCTGCAAAATAAACACATCGGACTCAGTCAAATTGATTATATATTCATTTGAGACCAGCTGGAAAATTAATCTTCCTTTAAGTTTTAGGAAAAAACATTATTACTGTTATACCAGGTGCTTGCGTCTCTGAAGACAAAACATGTTGTATCACCTGAAGCGGTGAGCGAAAGATTGTCTGTCTCAACAAACCATATAGCAAACTGTCACCCAATCACTTAACAAGCAGCGGATAGCATACCATCGTTCGGCATAATATAACTATATTTTACACTGTTTGCATCAGGGAATATGTGTCTAACTGTCCACCATATAAACACATAGCTACAGAGGTCAGGTCTACTGACGTAGTGGACATTGAAAGGTGGTACTGATGCAGCTGCAAGTGACGAGGCCACGTACCTATGAGTGGTACTGATGCAGCTGCACGTGACGAGGACACTTAAGCATGAGTGGTAATGATGCAGCTGCACGTGACGAGGACACTTACCTATGAGCGGTACTGATGCAGCTGTACGTGACGAGGACACTTACCTATGAGTGGTACTGATGCAGCTGCACGTGGGGTGGACTCTGCTAAGACCAACAGCAGGAAGAAGAAGGCTACAAAGATACTCATTCCTGAAAACCAAAGTTATTATATGTTTACTCTCTGAATTCAGAATAATGTTTCTGTATTTGGAAAAGCTCATTATCTGCGTACGGTGTACCTCTCATTACAGAGATTCAGATCACGTTCACATACTGGACGGGAAAGGTTGATTTGACAACGCTTTAGAATGAGTGCCCCTAATTACATACAATTGATTAAATATGATAGCATTCTGCAAGGTATTTCATTATTTCTCTATAGTTCGGATAATTACTGAAATGAGTTATTCATCCTTTAAAAGAGCATTCTGTCTAATACGTTTTTTGTCAGATTAATTACAATTTATACCTAATTAAGCGGTCACATCTTGTAAATTGAGCATGGCACTAAATCCATGAGCACTAATTGTTCTCAACAGATAGTACGTCTTGATCGTGCTGTGATGCAAATACTTATTAGCTATAGTTAAAGATCAAATCTATTTTTGCGAAATGGTTCTGGTGACCTTTGTGTAAGCTATGAAAATACATTGTCGGCTAATTGATTATTCATCACAAATATTCGCGAGTCCAATTTCATTTCTAACATTTGCTGTTCGATAAATATAGTGTCCTATTAAGACCAGCTGAAAGCATATACTACAACCTCATCCGGTGTATAATAGCCATTATTTATGTGTGAATTAAGCTTAACAGTAGTTCAGTTATCAGTGTAGGCAGCTTAATGTCTTTCTGATCTTGACGAGCACACATCTTCGCCCACCCCCTCACCCACCCCAATATATTACTCTAATAACACTGGAAGATAGGTCCAGGCCAATCCCGTCTATATATCATGGACCTCAGTGCATCTGGGGAGATACAAAAGACCAGTTTATATATATAGCCTTGTGTTTTGGTGTACTCAGTAAGGGTTCTTGAGCTGACTGGGTTTGGGATCCCTCATGCTTCGATTTCAAACCTTCACTTTGAAATGTTGAAAAGTGGAGTGTGACGTTTAGTTCATCTGACAAATAACAGTGAAATAACATCTTCTATTTCCTGTCTGTAAAATACGCACTTGTGAACAACAGAACATACACAAATAAAGAACTAAAAGGACCATATGGATTATTTCTAAATTGAGTACAAGTGTGACAGTAAACTTTCCTTGCTAAGCAACAGCTTGACAAATAATGAAACGAATGTACGGGTTCAGTATGCAAATCGCCCAGTCGAGCATCCCGGTATCAAATTGTCATTACTCATATGAATACAAAGGGTGTCATTTGCATAAATACTATATATATGGCAATTTACCTATTGAACGGCCATGGGTAACAAATAGATTAACGAATTAATCTGACAATACATTTATCTTACTTCATTGTATATACATGTACAATTGTACATTTGTATCCCTGACTATAATATGGAACTGCCATACAATGGAATACCTTTCTCTGAATCCCGTCGATGCACAGAGCAGTTCATTGCCTTTATATTATTGTTCGGTTTTGGAAGCAATTGCCCTAAACACACATGTTTTTTCCTGTATGGTTCAGTAGCAGGCATTTGGTTGAAATGATCAAGTAGCATGTCAGTAACCCTTCATTTTAACATCAGAGATCTATAGATGATTGCATGTGGAACAGGTACTCCACTATGACCCATGTAGTTTACCGGCGAACACAGACAGGTATACTTATCACAGTAAGTAGCTATCTATTGTTGATATAGGAAAGGGTCTAGATCAGTCAATTAACGTTAAACGATTTTCAAAAAAGGCTTCAGCCTAAGGAAATAACATGGGAAGAAATGTCTAAATATTACTATGAACCTATCCCCCAAACGACTACCCGAGTACAATGATCAATAAGACTGCATGCACAATGACATGACATTCCCTGCTGAACACTCAATACGCATAAAGATAACATTCCTAAATGAACACACAATACGCGAATGACATGTCATTCCAAACTGAACACTCAATTCACAAATGAAATGTCATTCCCAGCTAAACATTCACTACACAAATGGAATGAAATTCCCAGCTCATAAATCAATACGCAACTGAAATGACATTCCTAACCGAACACCCAATACATAAATGAAATATCATTCCCAGCTGAACACTCAATACACAAATGAAATCATCCATGCCTAACCGAACACTCAATACACAAATACAATGGCATTCCTAACCGAACACCCAATACACAAATGAAATGGCATTCCTAACTGAACACTCAATACGCAATCAATTGTCATTGCCAGCTGAACACTCAATATACAAATGAAATTACATTTACACAGGACGACGACCGTTCTGCCTTCTTTGTGCGTTCTAAAAATAATAAGAACGCCTTTTAACGCTCGAAGAAGGCACGAAGAAGGCAGAATGATTGCGTAGGTCGTACAGAGGTCGTACAAAGAAGGCACAGACATCGCCATGGACGACACAGAACGCCATGCTGGCGGCGACAATATTGAACATGTTCAAAACTAACGCACAGCGGTCGCCGAGGAGTTTGAGCGCACAAAGGACGCTCGAACAAGACAGAAGGAAGGCTAAAGCATCGCCGTGGTCGCAGAATGAACGCACAAAGATCGGCCAACGGTAGGCGAAAGAGCTCCGTCAACCGTTCCGATGCTTGTGCTTCTTTGTGCTTTTATTGTGTGCGTTCTTTGAGTAACCAATAGCGTGCGTTGAGCAATCACTGTGCCTTCATCCGGCGACAACAGCATCCTTTGAGCGACCATGGCAATGGCTCTACATTCCCTCCGCGTTCCTTCTGCCTTCCTTCTGCCTCCTTTCTGCCACCGTTGGGCTTACTGCATAGCCTTTTCACACGCATGAGGTAAATTCCACCGTTTCTGAAAGTCAACTGCAATAGCTTGCCACTCTTGGGATTTTCCTGGGCATTTGACAACTTCATTCTTATACTCATCTCAGATAGCTCTGCAAACTTCAGGCAGCAAAAAGAGATGGGGCTGTAGACATACGATACTGGTACTGGAGGCCTTGGTACTTGTCCCCAGTAGCAAGGAACCTGATGGTCACACGACTTACTCGCCAATTTCTGTTCTTTTAGGCAATTCTTGGTCCAGCTCTTTCACGGAATTCGTCGACAAGAGCTGGCTCCTTTCTAAGGTAGTTATAGAATGACCCTTCATCTTCAAGACGCAATTCTTTCATTAGATGGTTGCAGTCCTCGAATAGCAACCGTCTGTGTTACATCAACCAGGGGCGAACCCACCAGGTTCTCAATCTTCTTCTTCCGCATCTATTTATTCTTTTTTAGGATGGCAATGGCTATTTGGTTAAAACACTTTTCTTGTTGACCTTGCAAACAAGTTGCCTACATTAGCAGTCCATGCCTAATTGTGTCGCAATGAGATGGTTCCTCTTTGCCTGCTTGAATACAACTGATGATAGAATGACATAACCACGTATTTATATACCCTGGATATACAGGATGCTGAACAGTCGCCAAAGATTGCTGAAGGACTGACTGACTTACTGACTGACTTTGGTTTTACGCCGCTTTAAGCAATATTCCAGCAACATCACGGCGGGGGATTCGAACCCGGGTCTTCAGCGTGACGAGCCAACGCTTTAACCACGTACCAATAGGCTACCCCACCGCCCCTATCGCTGAAGGAATGCACAAGGAACGCCGAATATTGCTGAAAGAATGCTCAAGGGTCGACGAGAAGGCAGAAGCATCGCTGAGTGTTCGCCGTTGGTTGACGTTGGTTGCGTATGGTCGTACAGGGAAGGCAGAAGGAAGTCAGAAGGACTTGAGCGTTCTGGTCACTTTTAGAATGCACAAAGAACTGTCGCCGCCCAGTGTAAAGGGGGTCTAACTGAACACTCAATACACAAACTAAATGTCGTTCCTAACTGAACAATCAATACACAATGAATTCACATTCCTATCTGCACACTCATAACACAATGAGATGACATTAAAGTTAACAAAGCCAAAGTCGTCAACTGAACGCTTTATACACAATTATAAGGCATACTGTTGTGATCACTGCACTGACAACTTGAGGACATACCCATCTGAAGACTATATTCTCCATGAGATGAACACTGAACTAAACTGAACTGAAAGGTCAATGCACAATGAGAGGACATACCCATCTAAACACCCATTTTAAGCATGATGTGCATTACGAAATGACCTACCCAACTGTTTACTAAATATAAGATGACCTACCCAGCTGAAGCTTGGCCGGAGATTCAGGCGGCACCCAGAAGATGACGAGAGTCAGGAGGGAGAGCAGGGCACAGGGCAGGACCAGGATGAACGTGTAGAACGCTACCTTCCGTTTGAGTTTGAGACTGAATGTCAAGTCCGGGTACGGCTCGGGGCAGCAGGTGTAATACTTCACGTTGCGTACAGCCTTGTTCTCCACGATGTCCCACTCGTTGCTGGGCACGAAGTCACTCACGTCCATGTCGTGTTCCGCCACAAAGTCTATGTTCAGTTTCGCCCCATTGTACGTCCACGAACCGAACTTAAGGCTACATTGTTGGGAGTCAAACGGGAAATACAAAGTGTCAAATAGGCAGGAACTCCGCAGAATTGCTTGAGGCATCCACAACAGTTCGCCAGAATCATACACCACAACCAGCGCGTCTCTCTGTTCCTGGAGCCGGTCGTCAGCACTGTAACAGATGCAGGTCAGAGATGATACAGGTGTACGTGCACAACATACCCTATCATCACAGGGATAGCCATCATAAATTATCATCACACACTAAGATATTGCAAACACCGTCTCAAACATCATCACATCGATCATTATCGGAACCATCATCATCACATACACCATCATCACATGGACAGTCATCCTATACATTATCATCACACAGAGGCTAGCATATCACAGATTGCACTGTCAAGACACTGTCATTGCAAACATCGTCATTGTAGTATAAGACAAAATATTATGGATGTCAACTTCTTCTTTATTCTATACACAACGTCTCTGGGATTTTCCTTGCCCCTTCGTCGGGTGAGTGGTAGGGGCAAAGAAAAGCCCACAGACGTTGTGTATATAATAAAGAAGAAGTTGACATCAATAATATTTTGTCTCATACCTGAATACTAACTTCTAAATAACTCTCAAGAACCTCATCGTCATTGTGCATCATCGCATCGATCATAATAGGGCCATTATCATCACACGCACCATCATCACGTTCATTTTCATCACATCCACTGTCAGCAAACTCTCCATCATAATAGAGTGTCGTAAGGTACACTATAACCTCACACGTCATCATCAGCGATACACCACTACCTCCATCGTCCTCCTACAATCCCATCACAATCACCACCATAACGTACACCGCCAATGCATGCAACGCCATGCTCACCACCACCATTACATTCACCGCCATCTCATATATATCGTCATTATATCATTACATCACATACCTACAACAAAATCTTTTCAGTTCAACCGGAAACAAAGTATGCAATGCGGAAAAATAGCCGCAATAGCTCCTTAGAGTTATTAACAAATGATGTTATCACAGTGTAACCTAAATTTGGTTTCAAAAGCGTATAGTTAAATAACAAATAAAAGGATTTTTCAAAGTAAATGTTTACAACATCGTCTACGAACACCATGTACAGTGTATGTCCTGATACTTAGAACACACTGCGATCTTCTTGTAGACAAAAGAATTCACAGAAGCTCTCTGCTTTTGCGGATATTTTTTGGGTTTTTTGGTAGTAAATATGATATGTTCAAACATTTATTTCTAATTACAAAAGTCCGTTTCCGAGTTTTGCGATCATAGAGTACTGAACGTTTTAAGCAGTCTGTCCCAATAAAGAGCCCGAGCCTTGGAGAGTTATGGCTCCCAATCCCTTACTTTGATGGCTTTGACCTGCAAGGCATAACTGACACTTGCCAACTTGGCCAAAACTCTGGCCCCTATCAGTAAACAGTTTCCTGAATTCGTTTTCGCTATTATCTCCAGTATAACAGGTGTATAATAGTGAAACCATGTTTGGACGATCCTAAAGACAGCTTCTCCCAATGTTGCTAGAACAATTTCTATTTGGTTTCCATGGCAACCATATGCAAAAACCAACTTTTTGCCACTGGTCCCCAATGTATTTAGATAATCTGATCAAATGTGTTAGCAAGCTAGTGTGGAATTGCATCTTAGAAATGTTTTTAAAATTGTGTGCCTACTTTGAATTTTGTTGCCACATCATATTCACGTTTGTAACATCAGCTATTATGCTGTTAAGGTCAAAAGGCAGAATCAAGATGAAAATGATTTCGCCACCTTGCCGGTCGTGCTCAGATAATAATCAAAATTCTCTAAGCTGCTATCTGGGGTCAAGTAGGCCAAGTTTAGCTTTGTAGTTTCAGAGGACATGGAAAATGAAAATGTTAACAACGGATGAACGAACACCAGGACGACGGACAACGTGAAGCGACATCAGCATACTTGACTTTCATCAGGTGAGCTAATATTACGAATTGTCTCGGTCTGTCATCATTGAACAATGTTCACAGTGTATAGCACATAAACACAACATATTCCAATAGGGTATAACAGATGGGCTATATATTCCAGCCGTGATAGAGAATATAGGCAGGAAATATCACAGCGGGGATATATAATTATAATTAAGTATAATATACGTATCCCTGCGGTGAATTAGTATAGAAACAGTGTATGCCACGTCAAAGATACGGTGAGTGTATACAGAAGGGACAAAACATATGGACAATATGAATATTTCAGCAGTGATTTTGTCTATTGACGTTTCGTATTTTTCTTGTGGGGTTCAGTATATTCCAGATGATGTATAGGGGCAGTATACAACACATGGGGAGTATAGCATATGGAAACTATATTGTTAGCATGTTAGTCCATGGACAGAGAATATTCCAGCAGTCCATGTATATATTGCATATGCAAGTGTATAATATATACTTAGATAGGATATAAATGTTATGTAGTGGATATCGATAATATACCCGTTATAATTCAACTTAAATCAACAACATAGCAGCTCTTCACGTTCGACGTCTGCAGAAATTCTGCACGCAAACTTTACCAAGGCGTAAAATCCATACAACGTACAGTCCATTTAGCATACTACACATAGATAGCATACAGTCAAAATAGCCTAAGTCAGTACAGATGTACCACATCATACATAGCATACAGTCCATCTAGCATACTGTCGCAGTAACACACAGGAATGTGGTCGAATCAGTTAAAAGAAAGCTTCGATAATGCAGCTATTTTTAAAATACATTAATCGGAACGTGTATTCGGTCGTGTTGTATTAATCTGTCACCGTGGTCTACGGGGTGTAATCTCAGTGCTTCGACCAATTCTCGATGTTAACAAATTACCGCTAAGAGACCATGATATGAATACTCACTGGTATCGAGATTTGATTTACACACTTTGTACGTAACCAGTCTGGTGAGTGTTTCTCTACAATATCTGTACACGGGGAAAGTAGATGATGGTTGGCGCTGAATGATTTCCAATACATAAAGTTCCAAAGCATATGGAAAACCAAATGTTGGGCCTAAGTGCCGGGGCAAAAGCAGTGTTTTCATTGTGCACACATGTTGCTGCTTTTGCTTGAGCAATCTTGACAACTTTGGGAAAATTCCGATAATGTGCTTGTGCTTGTGCTTGTAAGGAATAGCCGAGTTGTAACTGAAGCTGCAAGTGTTACAGCGTGCATCACTGACATGCGTTGTTGTATTCCCTTCCAAGAAACGTCTCGTCTTCGCTGAAATCTATTTTAGTGGAATCGGTTTAGAAAGCAAGCAGCCTTGTCGATAACATGTAGCTGTTGCAAGGGTATCGAATTTTGTGCAAGTATGTCCAATTTACCTCTCTTTACAAGTATTTGCACACAATAAACTTTCGTTTGGCTTGTTGCTTGTGTTGTTGCCATTAGACGAGTAGTGCATACCCCAGCCCGTACAAATCAGCATCGATAGATTCTAGAATTGGATAGGATGAAAATGCTCAATGGCTGCATCCCGGGTTGTAATTACAGTGTGTAATCTTTGATTTACCAGCTCGGACGCCGCTATGCCAGGCTGAGACGTTTATGTTCCTGAGCGACCAATAAGCAGGCCTTTGAGGCGAGAAGATAGCCACGACTGGGATCAACTATCCGACCCCAACTGAAACTCAGCACAAGTGAGCTGAGCACCGTCAAGCCGGGAGTACTCTCTTCACACGTTAGTGTCAATTAAGCTCTCAGCGCAGCGTTATCTTTGATAGCAGGGCACGGGGGGGATGTGGTCAGAACCATTCACATCTCACACTTACAGCGAGCAATGAGAACACTAACTCTTTGTGGACACAGCACAAACATCACATTGCAACCTGTGAAGGACTCCACATGAAACGTTCATTAAACTTGACAAATGTTCGTGTGAGTAGCTATTACAAACACATCAGGCTACTGTGCGTTGAACAAAATTACCACATGAAACATTGTCGGTAAAATGCTTCTTGTCAGTGGAAAGGAGCTGACTTCGCATTGATGTTTGTTGGCAAAACAGAGAACACATTCCCTCCTCCACAACGGTAATATATACACCCCACGTCTTCTCCAATGCCTTTAGTCCACTGAGGAAAACATTCCCTTCTATAAGGACTCATATCCTCACCCAATGCTGCGTACTTTCTCATCTTCATTCAGTCAAAACAGAGAGATTCCTAGGCCTAGGGGTACATTTCTGGACACTTGGGAAATTGGTTATCTTTGAGCTAAAATATCAATACACGTGATTGGCACATGCAATTTCCCAAAATGGAGGCGTGAAATTACACAAAGTCCTCCACAGACGTGGCTGGTATGTGGGAAGGCTGTCAGAGACGGATTCATATCGACGAGAGACGGAAAGCGTAGACAAACGACGAGTCCAATACACCAAACATCCTTAATCCCGTGATCGACACAACAAACGCTGACACAATGTACTGACATCCCTATGCACATGACCAGTTCATGATCAGCGCAAAACAATTGGATGCAATGTACTGGCTACTTTCTTGATGAACACAATCCACAATGACAAATTATACTCCTGTACTTTCATAATCAATACAATATACTCTTAGACAATGTAGTCCTGTACTTTCATGACAAATACAATATACACTTACGCAATGTACTTTCATGATCAATACAATATACACTTACGCAATGTACTCCTGTACTTCCATAATCAATACTATATACTTTTAGACAATGTACTCCTGTACTTTCATGATCAATACAATATACACTTACGCAATGTACTCCTGTACTTTCATAATCAATACAATATACACTTACGCAATGTACTTTCATGATCAATACAATATACACTTACGCAATGTACTCCTGTACTTTCATAATCAATACAATATACTCTTAGGCAATGTACTCCTGTTGTTCCATAATCAATACAATATACTCTTAGGCAATGTACTCCTGTACTTTCATGATCAATACAATATACACTTAGGCAATGTACTCCTGTACTTTCATGATCAATACAATATACTCTTAGGCAATGTACTCCTGTAGTTCCATAATAAATACAATATACTCTTAGGCAATGTACTCCTGTACTTTCATGATCAATACAATATACTCTTGCGCTATGTAC